ATTTTCTGTTCTGTTCTCTCTCCCTTCTTCATTGTCTCTTCCTTTTTTTTCTTTTTCATATTCACTACATTTTTCCTTTGAATGTATTTCTCATTATATATGTAAAATCTTTTAATCAAAACGATTGAAAGGATAAAACGGAGAAGCTGCCCGCCTGTCTTTTAACTCAGACGCTAATCGCCGAAAAGGACTTTCTGCCTTCCGAGCAGCTGCTGGCCTGATGAAGCGCAGCAGCCCTTTTCCGACACCGGAGATCAACGGTCCCTGAAGGGTCTCCCCCTGCCAACCCCCCTGGCATTCCCCAGTGGGTGACACTCATGCCGAGTTTCCATCTCCAGATCTTGAAAGCGGCGAAAGGGCAGGGCGTAGAGCAACCGATGCCAGCCCAGGCCGGGCAGCGCACGTGTATGCTGCAGCAGCAAAGCCAGCTGCCGTGTTGTTCTGCCCGCCATCTGTGCGCGGGGGTGTGGAAATGACTGGAGAGAGATTTCACATCAGTGCCCCTCGAATCACACGCCACGGCGTGTGAAAGAAACAGCACCCTGGGCCAGAGCCTGAAAGCTTGACGCTTGAGCAGGGTGACTGCGTGGGCTACAAACCTTAATTCTGGCTGTTACACAAAATATCCTGGCCAGGGGGCTAGAGGTTAAAAGCTGGCCAGGCGCCCCCCTGCTTTTCCCCCCCTTTCTCTCTGCTCAAGCTTGGTGGCCTCTTGTCCTTTTCCCTGTAAGGCACAGATGCAAAGCTTCAGAGCTAAATCAAACCAGGCAACCTCTTTTCTCTCATCCCGTGCAAAATTTTCAAAGTTCCCTGTAAAGTTGGTGGAACGGAGACGAAGCTGGAGAGGATGCCCGGCGCTGGTACCAGGCCCCTGGGGACAACCCTCCTCGTGGTTCAAAACCGATGGGGTCCTGCTGCGTCTCCGTTCCGGTCAAGGCTTTACGGTCCGGTTTTGAGGGCCTGCCAGATCTGGGGTTGAGCAGAGGGCAACCCCAGGCAATGGTGGAGGAGACCCGAAGCTGTGCCGAGGCTGAGCTGCCCGGCCCACCGAGACCCCGCCCAGCTCCTGCGTCGGGAGGGCCTGTGGGAGTCAATGCGTCTGGCTAGAGATCTGCTGGTTCCTTTTTCCCAAGCCGACATCTGTGGGTGATATTTTCCGTCACGGCCTGAAACCGGTTCCTGCCTTTGTCCTATTGTGAAAAGCCACAACGGTTCCCCGTTGCAAGACCTTCATGGCGCTTTGTCTCTTGCTGGTGACGCCCTGCAATGCCATTTTGCACCTCCCTCTCCCCCACACCCCAAATATCTCAGCTGGGGGGCTCTCTCCCCCCAGAATGCCCCGCCACCCCCTCCCAAGGCCCCTGAGCGTGACAATGGGCCAATTTGTTCTGTGGGGGGTGAGGAATCCAAAGGGGGCGGAGGGGACAATGGAGCCCTGTCTGGGCCCCCCGCCTCCTTGGCGGGACCAGGGTCGGAGGGCCATGACTCATGCCAGGGGATGAAATGCCAGGGGGCACGGGGGCTTTGCCATGCTGCAGGGGTGCGGGGAAGCCATCCAAGAGAGGTGGGGACTTGGCAGCTCCAGATCACCCCCCCCATCCAAGCCTGCCTCAGCCGGTGACTCAGTCCAGTCGGCAGCTCGTGCTCTGGAGTCTCCAGGCTGGCTGGGGTTACGGAGAGCCTCTGAAACAGGTAGCCTGTGTGAGAGGGTCGGGGAGTGGGCAAGAGCAGGTGGGCAGCCCTTAAGCCCATGGATCCTGATCATACATGTATACTGCACAGTGAAGAGCATTGGTGGGGGGGGGTGTCTGAAGAGTTATAACAGGCGGTGCTCCTGGTTTAGGGATCTGCGTTGCAAATCTCTGGATTGCCACCGGGTGGCAGCAGCATCGGAGTGCTCTGCATCACTGTGCTTCCCTCTAGTGGCCATCCAGAGCCTTGCAGCCCAGCCCTGAGTTTTCCTGCCCTCTCCGCTTTTCTGCCTTTCATAGGGTCTTCAGAGCTAGAAAAGGAGCAGGCAGGGCTTCTTCTGGGCTGCAGAAGTGAAGACACTTTGCTCTGTGTGTGTGTGTGTGTGTGTGTGTGTGTGTTGTCAGCATCTGAGTCGTAGGAGCAGGGATGGCAAAACTTTTATCTATGTAATAGCGTGGGGAAAATCCAGCCCCGTGGTATCATGTGGATTTGGAGGAACTTGATGCTCCGTGTTGTCATCCCTTCCCCCCCCCCCCCACAATTTCCTGGGTGTGTTTTGCAAATCCTGACCTCCTGGTGTAGAGCTGTGGGTCCTGGAGAAGCCGAGGGATGACTGAGAGGCCCTTCTGAAGGGGGGGGCAGGTTCCAGGGAACCCCTTTGTGCTGGCTAAGCGTTAGGAGGGAGCCAAAGAGACAGGAAATATGGCTTTTCCCCCCCGTTGGCTTGTTTTGGGGGGTTTTTTTGGTCTTGCTTCACATTTCCTCTTTGCTCCCACAGGTCCTGAGCTCCGAAAGCTTTTCTGCGCGCTGGGCTATGGGGAGGTTAGCCGCAGCTTCCATTGTCCTGCTTTGTGGGAAATTCCTTGTCATTTTTCTTCTAAGGGAAACGCTTGGCCAGAGCAAGCAAGGAGAGGGGTAAGGACATTGAAGAGGGAGACAAGACGGGGAAGGGAACTTGTTGGTGAGCAAAGATAGAGATAATGCAGCAGTCAAGCACCAAGTCCTTATTTTGCTTGAGGAACATCTGAAAACTTTGGTTGCCTTGGGACAATCCAGAGCCACGTTTGCATAAAGACACATCCCCGGGTTGAGTCAACTCAATCACACACGTACATGGTTGGCTACTGTTGGACTCAGGGCGCTGTGCCAACTCAGCAAATGAAAGTGAAGACACAAAAAAGGAAGTCCTGTGCCCTTGACAGGAACTAGTATCTGTGGAACTCATTGCCACCAGATTATCCTGAGGGTTGTAGCACTTTTTTTTTTTAAAAAAAAAGGGTTCAGATTTATCAATGAATAGGAGAATGATCAATAGTTCTTCATTGTTCTTTTTAATTCTGCAGCTTTTCAAATAGCAGTGATGATTGTGGATGTTAAGATCCATTGAGTCAATTTTGAATCCTGGTGATTGCAGGAACAAGTCCGTGCAGATTTCTCAGCCAGGTTTTTGAAAGTGGTTTGTCCTCACGTCTTCTTCCTGGCGCTGAAAGAGAGCGACTGGCCCTAAGTCACTCGGTGGCTTTGTGCCTAAGGCAGGACTTGAACTCACAAGTCTTCCATCTTTTAATCTAGCAGCATGAACCTCTATTGTACACCATTATGACTCTCATAATAGTAGTAATTTTTTAAATTCATGATTGATTCTGTGCCATCAAGTGGGTTTTGACTCTTAGTGACCACATAGATCAGTGTTTCTCAACCTTGGCAACTTTAAGACGGGTGGACTTCAACTCC